ATCATGCGCATATCCATTTCTATATCCCTCTATCCCCAATTTAAGTTGTAGCCCTCTCTACGGTTAACATCCATTTTTATTTTCCACTCACCCACTTTTAATACATTCATTTCTACACCCTCTATTTCTCTAAACTCCACTTCTAAGTGGACTCTCTAAACTCCACCTAAGTGACTTTAATTGTTTGCTCTCTCTAAACTCCACTCAATTGTTTGCACTGCCCACATCCATTTCTACATCCCTCTATCCCCAATTTGGGTTGTAGCCCTCTCTACGGTAAACATCCATTTTTATTTTCTACTCACCTACTTTTAATACATACATTTCTACATCCCTCTATTCCCAATTTGGGTGTAACCCTCTCTACTGTGAACCTCTCTAAACTCCACTTATAAAACATCTCTAAACTCTACTTATAAAACTCCACTTACATCTCTAAACTCTACTCATAAAACTCTACTTACATCTCTAAACTCCACTTATAAAACTCCACTTACATCTCTAAACTCTACCTATAAAACTCTAATTGGTATGTACTGCACATATCCATTTCTACTCTCCTACACACATCCATTTCTACATCTCTCTATCTCCAATTCCACTTACATCTCTAAACTCTACCTATAAAACTCTAATTGGTACGTACTGCACATATCCATTTATACACTCTCTTACACACATCTATTTCTACATCTCTCTCTCTCCAATTTGGGTTATAGCCCCCGGCATATCAATTTTTATTTTCCACCTAACCACTTTTAATATTCTACTCATGTTTTGCCATTTCTAAAAGCGAACCTCAACTTCATTTGGGTTGGAGAATTAGGTTCTAATTTAGAGAGAAAAACCCTTGATATAGAGAGAGGAAACTTGAACTTCCCAAAGTGCCCCTACCTACATTTTCATAATTCTCAAATTACCCTCAACTTTATCAAAATACCAAATCATCCCTAATTTTCCAAAATACCTCTTATCCTAGAAGAAATTTTTCAAATTGCCCTCCAACCAAAAAATCAACCAAGAACCTAAAACTTTTCATTTCTAGGAATCCAAAATTCCAAAACCCTAAAAGAAAACTCGTACCCACTCTAGAAACCAAAAGCACTTAAATTCGGTCATCGGGAACTCAGAGGGTACACATGCCTCTCATGAGTAGTCGGCTTCTTCAATTGTGTGAAATTCTACCTCATTCTGAACTGAAAACTAGGCCATGTCTCGAGAAAAGGGCTTCCCCAATATCAAAAGCCGGTGGTCTAAGAGGGTTCGGGTTCTACCAGAGCGAATGACCACACCCCTTGCGCTTGCTTCTTATAGAAATAAAATATTATAATTTTAATTGTGTGCCTCTAGTTACCATTTTTTCTTATCCAGGCTACTGAGTCATCCAAGACAGACGATCACTTTTTAAACCAACACAACTTTGGTCATGCATCTACGAATATTTTTGCTGAAATTGAGGTTCAAAGTTGAAGTAGTGGCGCCTCCGCAGCACTTCGATGTTAAATGGGACACTTGACGCCTGTTGTGCCTCCCTCATACACCATGAAATATGTTAAAACGGAGAGTTTTAAAATAATGTTACGATATTGGTTGTAACTAAATGCCAAGATCATGTACCAAATCCAATCAATATATGTGTATTGGCTGTGAAAGTCATGCAATGTAAATATTAATGCTAACACATTCATACCTATTCCACAAGGAAATGTCTCTCAACACTTCACATATGATAAAGTCAAGCGCATGGGCATGGATTGTACACATTCCTTCCAGAATAATAAGTACATATATTCTAAACCCTAAACCCGAATCCAGCATATGCATTACAGCGGTACTTGCATATAGATAAATATGTATTCATCAGTTGCATGGCTTCATGCATATGTGCACATGGGACGCGGTACTTGCATATAGATAAATATGTATTCATCAGTTGCATGGCTTCATGCATATGTGCACATGGGTCTGCGCCTGAACACATTTTAGGGTGTATAGTTGCGCAAAGATGGACTAGGGTGCAAACCAAAAGACATGTAGGTATGAACCATCTTGAACAAAGAATACTATTTGTGGAAGTACAATATGCCACATATGATCATAGTAAGCATATAGTTTCAAAAAGCGCTAGCGGCCCCCAAGCAGCCATGGGTCCAAGCCGTCCAACGCCTAGGTGACCGCCTAGGCAGGAATCCAGAACTTGGGCGACTTAGTTGAAATTAATCCATAAGAATTTTGATAATCCATAAGACCATAATCTATAAGAATTTTGATAATATATAAGACCCTAATCCATAAGAATTTTGATAATCCATAAGACCATAATCCTAATTAAAAAAAAAGACAGAAGTAGAGAAGAGAATTTTGATAATCTATGAGACCATAATCCATATTTTCATACAATGCTAAAACGGTAAAACCATACAAGCATACGCTGGTAGTCTGATACACTGTAGATTGTATATGCAAAAGTTAGATAGTAGAACTAGAAACTAAAAATAAGAAAAAGAAAATCTATAGAAATTCAAAAAATATACAGTCTAGAACACAATTAATCAACACTTAACACAACAGTCAACACTCAATACCAAGATTCTTTAGTAATCATCATCATCATTAGTAGAAGGATTAGGGTAAGCTTCATCATGTGCATCAGAATCGAGGCCATTATCATCAGAGTCATCTCCCTCTTCAATATAACGCTCGTCCTCCTCTATTACTTTTGCATCTGTCTCTTCCTCCTCTTCTTCTACCTCCCTCTTACTAGTATGTGTAGATGAGGCCCTATGAGTCTTCGTTGCTCTACCATTTTCTATCTTTTTGTGCTTCCCTGAACTCAAATATTGTATAATTTCCTCCCTGATAACTTCAAGAACATTTTTACACGGGGCAACATCCCCCTTAATACCGACATGGCATTTTTTAAACCGATAAATGCCCCCATTAGTATATTTTCCACAATAATTTCATTTAATACAATTTTTGTCATTCGAATACGGATTATAATCATACTTTCAACATAGATCAGCACTTCTAGAAGAACCTGGAGAAGATATTTCTGAAGAACAATGATCACTTTCATCATTTTCTGATATTTCAAATTCAAAAGTTGTCTAATCTCATCCCGAATAGCTTCAGGAACCTTTTTACAAGAAGCAACATTCTCTTTAATACCAGCAACGTGTTTCTTGAATCGGTTAATACCCCCATTGATATCTGTTTCACAAAAATTACACCTTATACAATTTTTATCGTTTGGTTTTGAATTATAATCATACTTCCAACCCGGATCACTTCTTTTAGAAGTTGCATAAATAGATCTATTCAAATGACAATGATTTTATTCCTGTTGTTGTTTTACAAAACTCATAGATTGTTTAATCTCCTCTCTAATAGCTTCAGGAACATTTTTACAAGGGGCAACATCCTCTTTAATTTCGACAAGATGTTTCTTAAACCGTTTTATTCCCCCTGTCGTATCTGTTTCACAAAAATTGCATCTAATGCAATTTTTGTCATTTGGATTCAGGTTATATCCATATTTCCAACCCAGTTCTCCACTTCAACTAGATCCTGAAAAAGAATCTCAAAATAACACAAGCAATCTCAAAAATAAATTTTTGCACTTTGATTGCTCGAAC